GAATGCCACAGGAGGGCTGTAGTCCCGAATTCCAGGTACCGCTATATACCAGGATAGGAACTCTTTTACACTCACCAACACTTTACAAGGAGCCCTATATGGTACTTTCCCTAAATAAGGGGACCCCAATATAGTCCCCAATATACTATAGTCCTTACTATGGGGATCCCCAGAAAAGGTACCCCTAATTTTGGGAAAATATAAAGTCACTAAAATCCCGGGGGATCCCACAGCTTTCAACCAGATGTTTAGGGTTTAGGGTTTAGGGTTTAGGGCCAAGTTCCCTGAACAATGGGGCTTAGGCCCTAAATGCTGTAGCCTGATTGGTATCCCGGGCCTAAAAATATAATGCTGTGGCTCTTGGACTCTTATAAGGATAAATCCTAAACAGCCCACAGTTTCATCCATAAGCCCAGATCCCCAGACTCAGTAAACCTCCTTTCTGTAGAAGCTTCTCACAAACGAAGGTGCTGAGTCAGCGACCCTGGCCCTGTTTCTAAACCTCAAGAGCTGACGTGTTCTGGGTGCTTTTTCCAAATCATGGGTCAGGCTTTGGGGTCTCTGTGATGTGGACTAAAATGTGTTTGCGCCGGAAACGGGCATGCTAATCAAAAGGGATGCCACTGCGGCATGTTCGATTCTACTGCGTGCCTCTGCTCCTATTATTCTTTTTATGATGACTACTACTCCTATTGCTACTGCTGCCACTCAGATACACATGGTCAGCGAATAAGAGGTGTAGGCGTACGGATTTTGAGTGCAAAGCAATCGCTGACCAGCATGCTGAACAGATGGGCGTAGGAGGTTGTAGCAAAACAACGACAGCACGACTACGAGCTGGCAGACGCATCACCATCCAAATCCGACCTGAAGAACTGTTGACCAACATTTAGTGTGTTCGAAGCCCACCACTGCAGACTAAGGCCATGGTGCACAGGGGCGGAGGAAAAGGCAGTGCTGGGCCGCCATGAGGATTGAAAGTTTTAGAGATTGCTTTCTGAGTTCGGAGAGGTTCAAGCTCAAAGTCTTCACGCCAACCTGATGATGTCTCACACCCCGCCTCTTCATTGCGAGAATTAAACGTTTGGGTCTATGTCACCACGCCTTTCGCTCTAGCCACCGTGCCCACCGCCAACCAGAACCGCCCTGGTTTTAAATGGAATGAATTGAACCGACAACTTACAAGAAGCGCACCTTAAAATACAAAGAATCAGTGCTGAGGAGCTGCCGGCTTGGTTCCGTGGAACTCCCTTTAGCGATAACGGTAGTCATAGTAGAATAATAAGAATATTAATAAGAATCATCATAAAAAAGAAGATAACAACATACACCAGCATTGCCAGGGCCCCTGCTGGGCCGAAAATTATGTGGGGACGCCCGTCACAGGGGCTCTTTCGAGCCAAGAAAATTGCAGCGAACAGGGCCGTGAATCTTCTGATTCTCATGTATGTATGGTGCCACAAACCGCCCAAACTTCAAGCCACCACTGTTAAGGTCTATAGGAGCTTCTTACATGTAGACCCTAAACCCCTAAACCCCTAAAACCCTAAACTCTAAAAGCCTAAAAACATAAACACATAAAACCGTAAAAACCTAAAACCCTAAACCCTAAAAGCCCAAAGCCTAAAGACCCCTATACCCCCTTCAAAGGGCCCCTATTCACCCTTTGTGCATCTCAGCCGGTCGGGTCTTAACAAAAGCGAGGAAGAGGCTTCAAACTCCTTCAGTCTCCACATGAAAGGGAAACAGGGTTTAGGGTAGGGTTTCGGGTTTAGCTTTAGATTTGGGGTTTAGGTTTTAGGCTTAGGATTTAGGGTTCAGGATTTGAAGGTGCGAGGTTTAGGGCTTAGGCCTCCCTACTGGAGAATCAAATGGAAAAGAACATAGACAATAACATGGAAACTGGAGGTTACGTTGGAGTCTGGTCTTGCTTGAAAATAGTAGTTCGCAGGGCAGGGGATATAATCCTTATATACCCGCTATATAAAAGTATCCTCTCTTTCCCTACAGCCCCCAGTAAGTTGTAGGGATTATAGAGTTCCCCCATCATGAGAATTGGGGTTTCGGATGGCACAACACGCCTGCTAATCACGGAGCTCCTTGATAGTTAGGATGCTCTGTGGGTCCAAGTACCCAAAAAATGAACTGTTTCAGGTCTCTAATTGAACCCTAAACCCTAAACCCTAAACCCTAAACCCAAATAATGTATTGCTTTAAGTCCCAAATACTGAAATCTAAATGGTATTCGGGCCCTGAAGATCTAACATTTGGGTACCGGAACCCTTCGGGTGATCCCAAACCTCGGCGAAGTAGTTTCCATTTCATTTTCCATGACCCCCCCATCACTGAGGGATAATACTTCAAAACTCACATAATCAATCCTAAACCCTGAACCTTAAACCCTAGGCCCCTGTACTCAGACCCTCAGGGCTGGCATTCTCGCAGCTACCCATACTGCGGATGGAGGACATCTTGCACCGAGTATACCCTATACCTTACTACGGTGGGAAAATTCCCGCATGACCCTCAGTATCTTCTACCTTGGGAATTATGGTCTACTAAGGTCATGCAGGATTGTTGGTATCAACAGCACACACCCTAAACCCTAAACCCTAAACCCTAGACCCTGTATCTTGAGGATCCTAAATGGTGCAAGATTTCACACATCCACAGGCCTCCAACCGGCACAATCTAGGTACTATTCATAGACTTCAAGTCACAAAGGGGATAATGGAAAAGAAAATGGAAACTACTAAAATGGGCTATATAGGGATTATATAGGAATATATAGAAATATATAGGAATATATAGGAATATATAGGAATTATAGATTTAGAGCCTCAGGGTGCTGTCAACATGGAACTTTCAACGAATCCCAGTATGGCAGCAGGGAGAGACGCCACTACTGTGAACACCCAGCTTTAGAGCAAAGAGCATACTATGTTCGACGCAGGATATCTTGCAGCACCCTACATTCTGAGACTGCTGAGATTACCAGAATTTAGGGCGGTTGGCGTGATGCAAGACTTCCTACTTCCTGCTCACAATGGTGCAAAACCCTGCTCATGAGCCCTCTTCTCACCCACAGGCGTGCGCGAAGCTGGTATGCCAGATGAACAGCGCACAGGGCATCATGCAACATAGTGGCAAACACATCAACAAGAGCAAAACAGTCAGACAGATCCTGTTTCCTTTACGTCCAACCATATCCCTAAGGGTCCAAGGACCTAAATAATAGGGCTTTAGGGCTCAAGTACCATTACTATTATAGTATTTTGGCCCTTAAACCCTAGTATTTGGGTCGTTGGACCCTTAGGGTATGGCAGAACTTAGAAGAACTCTTGCCATCTCAAACCTGGAAAGTCGGTACCTCTTGAAACCCTTTCAAAGGCAACATGCAACATTAACCCGCGCAAAAGGCTCCCTTAACACCCTAAACCCTAAACCCTAATCCCTAAACCCCGAAACCCTAATCCCTAGACCCTAAATAAACCCCCTTAAAGGGAGTTTCTACAGGGACCCAATGCGTCCCTCGGCCGGCTGATTCAAGCAGATTAAGAGACTTGACTCGGCTGTTGGTCACCATCTAGCTGACAAACCTGGGGCCAGTCTAGGGTTTAGGGTTTAGGGGTTAGTTGCTTTTTTGCAATGTTCCTTTTCTGGTTCTAGGGTTTAGGGCTTAGGGTTTAGGGCTGAGGGTTTCGAGTTTGAGGTTTAGGCTTTAGAGCTTAGGCTTAGGGTTTAAGACTTCGGGTTTATGGTTTAGGGAGGTTAAGGTACGACGTACTTGTCAATAGAAGGGCTGTCTTTTTTGAAAGAATTGTTAAGGAGAGGCTAAAGAATCTGAACTTGAAAACGAGGATGATGTAGGCTATCTCAAAGTTGTTAACCTTAGGGACCCTTGCGAGATGTGCGGGTGGGGCAGTGATAGTGGGGGCTCTCTGAGGGAATACATGTGGTGTATCAGCTCAGGCTGGGATAGGCGATGCTGTTAGGGTGCATAGTGCTCACGAAGGTGCTGGGTCACATGTTTTGCTATAATACAGCTGCTGGCAATAGTTAGTGCTAGCGACCGGAGACTGAGAGGAAGAAGCAAGTGGCAATGATGAAGCCCTAAACCCAAAACCCAACGACACGGTTTAGGGTTTAGGGTTTAGGGTTTAGGGTAAACCCTAAACCCTATGCCCTAAACCCAAAACCCAACCACAATTAGTTTTTGCCATCTCAAGACCTGCTCAAAGTCTACATTGGTTACATTCTCAAGACGCCCATGAAGCAGACTCTACGCAGGCCACATATAATCCTCAGGCTACAGCTTTCGGTTGCTATATGGAACCAGCGGTCCCCATATGTATACAAAATACCGTATTATATTGCGTAATATATATATATACACATATATGTATACCTATAATCCTTTTTATGAAGACCCCCAGGCACTAGTTTTTGGAAACCCGATCTACCATCAGGTTCCTGTCTCCCCTTCAGGGGGACCCGCAAAACTTTGAAGCCGAACCTCAGCGGCCGGGTCATGTAGTGCCTTCATCTTCTGGGACTCTATATGGGTATATAGGGATTAGAAAGGAACTACGCTACCCTGACAGGCTCAAGGATTATTCGATCAAACTCCGATGACATAGAGAAGTTGGAACACAAACCCTAAACCCTAAACCACCAAAATCATTGGAAAAGCCAGCTGGCGACATTCATGTTGCAGTCTGAAAACCGTCAGCACTGGATCCGGTGTCCCTACAACCCTCAACCTATATACCTAGACCCTTCAACTACCCTGGTTTGTGGGGGCCTAAGTACCCACTCTTCAGGGGCCTGTAACCCCATCTGCGGGGAGCGTTTTGGTACAGAAATTCAACGGTTGCTCTCCTAATCCAGACTAGGACTTCTGGAAAGACTTCTGACCAACTTCATGTCATCGGGACATACATTCTGATGCTGCGCAATTTTGCGCCCAAATCGGCAATCATGATCACGGTCAACTGTAACTAAATGCTTCCATCCTCCAGCAGCTGCAGCCGCCTTTCATGGACTACGGCATCTTGCCGCGCTGGGTCTCTTGTGAACCTTGTCCGCGACCACCTGTGCTTTGACAGCAACCTTAGGATTTGCAATCGCCCCCGCACATGAGCCTTGAGAACGGCATCCCGGTCGCGCGCAGATACGCTGGCACTTGCCGCCAGCAGTGAACGCACAACTCTGAATCTTCCCATAGAGCACGCTGCCCCGAGTGGGGTCATGCCAACATTGTCGGCCGCTTCCTTCTCAGCTCCAGCCTCCAAGAGCAGACGCACGACTCTCGACCGTCCCGTGTAGGAGGCTAACCAAAGTGCAGTCCGGCCATGACCACAGCTTCGGATTTCTGCATCTGCTCTGGCCGCGAGGAGCAGGCGTACGGCATCAACACGTCCCTGCTCAGCCGCGCCAGACAAAGCAGTAACTCGTGGAGAATAAAAAGGGCTGTCAGAAACGCCATCAAGTTCCGCCCGGGCTTCCAGAAGCAGGCGCATGTTATCAACTCGCCCCATCATAGAAGCCAACTGAAGAGGTCCCACTAATAAAGGGCCAAATCCAGAAAGGCGGTTTGGGTCCTGTGGTCTGTCAAGTATCGCCTCAACCCCTGCCTCCGTACCCGAAGCGCAGGCTCCCACAAGCTCATTGCCCTGTGCATCTGAAGCAGCGACGTAATTCAGGACTACCAGCTGCAGGTCAAGAGGGCTTTCCAACCTGAAATCATCCTTCAACACCGTGCCGCCGTGAAGCAGCCTTTGTCGAAATCGTGGCAGGCCACCAATGCTCTGCACTTTTTGCTTTAAGGCCTTCACCGTGCTCAGCTCTTCCACAGGCACAGCTACCAGCATCTCTCCCGAAGGCATATACACTCGCAGCATGTCAACCGTGTGCTGCGGAGGCTCCATGTTCAAAAGCAGCTGCTAAGCAGCGTAGCCCCTTGAGTATTACGTACTATTATTATTGGCAACATATCCATGCATACACTTACGGCCTGCCAGGACCAATTTTTGTACTGAGGATCCGGGCTGCTTAACATGATCCGTATGACTGTTAAGGCTGCGGCCGAAGCAGAGAAGCTGTAAGCTTTGCTGCAGATTTGCTTTTGTTGGCTCTGTATCCTGGTATACACCTGTTTGAACCAACTCATCCAAGGATAGCTGCGGCCACAGGTGTCTTGGGATTTAATGAAAGTGGCTTGAAATATGCCTTCACCTTCCCTCCCCCAAAGAAGAGACCCTGAAGTAGGCGAATGCCTGAATTATGGCCAACTTCAAGAGGTGCACATTGAAAGGCCTTTAGTTCTAGGCGAGGTGTCGAGAAATCAGACCCACAACCTGTACCCTGAAACCTTACCTAAGGTTTCCCCCTTACTCAGTATCACACAGCCTCTTTAGGGCTCAATAGCTGACAGAGGATGTTTTTGGTAACCCAACTCCCCCCCCCCCCNNCCCCCCCGTCAGTATCAACATTTCGTCTCCAGCAGATTTTGGAGATACCACAAAAAGGGTACTGGCCTGAGATCCCAAAGACATCGTCCCCAAACCCTTCGGTAGTGTACTGAACAGATGGGGAGCTGGCAAAATTGTGGTTCCTTTTTGTGGGTAAAGTCCAAATAGCCCAATGTAGGTAATATTTACAGACTTTGAGGCTCAATGTCGGTATTATTTACATACTAAACCCTAAACCCTAAACCCTATAAACCCTAAAAACCCTAAATCCTAAAAACCCTATAAA